GACACCACCACACAGTAACTTAAATGAAGGCATGCTTTTTCTCTTGCAGAAAAGAAATCAAGAGGTAAATACTCAAGGACTGATAGGACAGTTTTATAATGTCATCAGCAATCTAGATTCCTTCTGTCTTTATGGAGTGATCTGCATCCTCATGCTTTTAGTGGCTGCCAGAGCCCTAGCCATCGTGTTTACATCTCTAGGGTAAGAGAAGGAGGGGTAAGGGCAAAACAACTTGAGTCTCTTTTCAAAGATTTTCCTGGAAGCCCCAACGAATGGCTTCTGCTATTATAACACCTCACAGGAGTGTTGTGGACACTTAATTAAATAAATTCATATTGTGAAACTGAATAAAGAAAACCTCATTTAAAAGGAGTTGGTTGGGCTTCCTGGGTGGCATAGTCAGTTAACTGTCAGACTCTTGGTTTCAGCTCTGGTCATGATTTCACGGTCGTGAGATGGTGTCCCAACTGAGGCTCCATGTTGAGCACGGAGCTGGCTTTGGATTCTCTCTTGTTCTCCCTTTAGCCCTCCTGCTCATGCTCTCTCTCTTTCTCAAATAAGTAAATCTTTTTTAAAAATAAAATAAAAAAATAAAATAAAATAAAATGCAGTCGCTTGGCCAGAAGGGGGAGCTCTCCTACCCTACCCCACGTCTGCAATTGCAGACCCCAAAAGGAAGAGACAGAACCTTGCATTCCCAACAGGAAGAAGCCTATGCTTTACCACCCCCAGGAGGAGGAAGGATTGTCTCCTCGCCCAGCAACAGCCCAGCCAATGAGGGGCTGCCACAACTCAGCTTCCATGTCCGGAATACGATATAATTTTCTGCTATTCCCAAATAAACCCATTTTTGCTGGTAAAATAAATGAGAGTTTTTATCTTTAAGGTTAACAGTATACAAACACACTTCCTGCCTGGCATGCCGGCGGGGCTATGTGTTAGCTATCATTATTACTCGTTGGCTAGAACTGTGTCACGTGACCACTCAGAGAGGGAAATCGTGCCCCTTATAAAATTGGGGGTCTGTTAGTAAAGAAGAAGGAGAGAAGCATATTGAACAGGCTGGTAGCAGTGCTCCCACAATCTCTGTCTCACTCTTTGTAATATCCCCAGTGCCAGACACAGGAGAAGGACTCATCAATATTGCAAAAAGAAAGAAGAAGGGGGCGCCTGGGCAGCTTAGCCGGTTAAGCGGCTGCCTTCGGCTCAGGTCATGATCCCAGGATCCTGGAATCGAGTCCCGCATTGGGCTCCCCGCTCTGCGGGAGCCTGCTTCTCCCTCTCCCTCTGCCTGCCTCTCTGCCTACTTGTTCTCTCTCTGTGTCAAATAAATAAATAAAATCTTTAAAAAAAAATTACTTATCATGCTAAAAAAAAAAGAAGAAGAAAGAAGAAGGGAAGGAAGAAGAGAAAGAAGGAGGGAGAGAGGATGGCCAAGCCAGCAAGCAGGTGACTGACTTTAGAGAGGCAAGGTAGAATCAGTGATTAAGAGTGCAAGCCCTAGAGACAGATCCAGAGGACTTAAATCTTGGTTGGAGATTCTGTGTAACTTTGTAGGAATTACATAACTCCCAGGACCTCAGTCTCCTCATCTATAGAATGGGAATGATATCAGTTCCCACCATGGGGCATTGTTATGAGAATTAAATGAGATAGTGCTTAGAAACCATCTGCAATATAAATGCTCACAACTTTTTTAAAGCATCGTTAACTTTTCTTGCGCAGCACCTCACAAGGCTGAAATCCTGCGTGAAACCTTCATGAGCGCAGAGTCTGGTCAATAGTTTCATAGGTTCAACTCCAATTTTCTGGGGAGTAAATAAAGGATTTAAAATTTCACCATAAAGGGGCACCTGGGTGGCTCAGTCAGTTAAGCATCCAGTCTTGATTTCAGCTCACGTCATGATCTCAGGGTCCTAGGATCAAGCCCAGCATTGGGCTCCCAGCTCCATAGGGAGTCTGCTTGAAAATTCTCTCCCTCTCCCTCTGCCCCTCCTCCCGCTCGCACGTGCATGCTCGCTCTCTCTCTCAAATAAATAAATACATCCTTTAAAAAAATTCTAAAATTTCACCATAAATTACAAAGCCACATATTGGTGTTATTAATGATAATGCGACTCATATTTTTAGTGTTAACTGCTGTAGAGGTGACAGGGCAAATAAAGGTATGATCCCTGACTTGGAGATACTGACAAAATGATCAGATGTGATTGCCAGATTCATGGGTTATAAGAGAGTTACACATAATCCTGAAGGCTTAGTGAGAGAAAAGGTCAGATCCTGTTTAGAGATCTAGAAAACCTTTATGGATGAGTTAGAGTTTGAGATGGCTTTCACTGAAGGCAGTGAAGGGAGGATCTGGGAGGACAGATATCCCTCACAGAGAGGACAACATGAAACAGGTCACTGAAGGAGGAAGGCAGACAGCACCCCTGGAAACACTTTAACTAGAAAACAGGTGAGTAGTGAGAAATACAGAGTGAAGTGTGTTGGGACCACAGTGGACTAAGAACATCAAAATGAGGAGTTTCTACAGAAGACACTGGGGAAACACTGAGCTTCTTGGTAAAAAAAAAAAAAAAAAAAGTGACCTCAAGGTGGATCTTGTAGTGAGTGACATGTAGGATGGTATGGATAAAATGGGAGTCCACTGAAAAGGCTGTTGGCCTAATGCAGGTGAGGCTCAGTGAGAGTCTGATGGGCAGAGAGGGAGCTGTAGAAATGCAAGAAGCATTGTCCAGGCAATACTTTGAGTCACACTTCATGGACAAAAAGATGAAATTTCAAATACAGCTACAAGACTTCGATGCTGGATGAGGAGAAGGATGGTGGTTTTAACAGGCCATTCATTCATTCATTCACTCAACAAATATTTATTAAAAACCTTTAATGAGCCAGGAACTGTTGAGGTGGCTGGGATACAGTTCTGCAGAACAGAGAGCCTGTGTCTTCCTGGAGCTAATCTTCTGGCATTCATTCTTGGTCAGGGAATGGAAGTTTTGAGGAATATCTACTTTTAAGGAAGAGGGGCATGAAGCACAGCAGGGAAGGGAGAAGCATTCAAAGGGCAGGACAGAATGCCGCAGAGCTTCATGAAGAGGAGGCTGCCAAGGTAGCCCAGTGATGATTGTTAACTGGGAACAGCCATTCCTACTGTGGTTTCCTAATCTAAACCTTAGCCTCCTAGCTGGTCCTCTGTCTCCAGTTCTTTCCCTATCAACACTTCCTGAACAGCGCAGCCACACAAATCTCCCTAAAATGTTCCAAGTACAAATCCCTGAGGGTTCACTTTGACACCTGCCTTGCAATTTCATCGATCACTATAGCTGTTCTTAATCTCTCAAACCTTTCGCTGAAGTAAAAACGACGTTCTCCCTGCCTTGCTCATCCACTCCTGGATGGAAGCGGGATTAGACAGGGGAGATGCCAGAAGTAGAGCCTAAACAGGCCATTGAAATAGTCCACTAAAGGTGTCCAACGGGGCGAGAGGAAATTTTTAAGGTTTTTATGTATTCCTGGGTATACTACTTAGAGTTGGTGCAGACAAAATAAACACTGAAGATGTTGCACAGGTTACGTGGAACATTTTTCACTGGAGACACATTTGGGAAATGTCTTCGGAAGAGCGTGGCAAACCTGAAGCCTACAGTTTCCAATGTTCAGGTAACTTGTAAATTAACCACGCCGAAAGACTATTTTGGAACTACATTGCCCATAAGGTCCCGCGCGGCGGCCCGGCGCTCTCGCGTGGCATCCTGGGAAACGTAGTCCGCGCGTTCCATAAATGGCCCACGCTCCAGCCCGCGGGGGAGTTGCCCACGCCAGCATGGCTGCGCCCACTTGGGGCGCGTATGTTTGTTTCGAATGTGGGCCTGGGCCGGCTCGTGGGGCTGGGCTTTAGGCAGTAAGTGGGGCTGGCAGCTGCGGTTCTCGGGGTGGGGACGTGGGAGGCGCAGGGAAGCTGTGGGCGGCACGCCTGAGGACTGCGAAGCGAGGGGCTGCCCCGGCGGCCTCTGGACGCCGCGCTTTTCTGGCGTCGGGTCAGCGGTACGGGGCTGCGGGGACCCTCTGCTTTTTCGCGCCTCTGGGCCCCATAGTGGCGTGGAGGGGTGGGGGTCCTGGCCTCGACCAGGGCGTGGGGGAAACCGAAATCCAGACCACGAACTCGAGGCCGGACTTTCAAGTTCCATTTTTTGGTGCCTTTTTTTTCTGAGGAACGGGTTGAAAAGGAATATATTGCATTTCGGCGCTTCCTGTCCCTTAGGAACTGTGCCAGGCGCTTTGCATTTCTCGTCTCCAAGTGACCCTCCGCCACACTCGAGGTGAGACCTTGAGCGGGTCCTGTAGGTCCCCACAGCTAATGTTGGCATCAACTGGATACATAGTGGAGGGCCTTTAGGCTCGTTCGTTTTAATGGCAGTCCTTTTTCCCCAGTGAACCTCCTTCTGGCCCTTTAGCTTTGGGACCATGTACTAAACTGCTGTAAAAGATTAATTTGTTCCATTTAATTTCTTTTGAGTGTCATAATCTGGTACAAGAAGTGTGAGAAGCTGAGATTTCAGGAAGTGGTTGATGATCCCCAGGCCCTTGTCAACTCTCAGAATCTAGGATTGGCTTTGCCACCCCCAGCAGTAGATGAGGTGTAATGAGGGGTTTTCTTTCTTTTTTTTACTATGCCTTTTTTTTAAAAGCAGCTATTATTTATTATGAGCCAAACGCTGTGCACCAAGTGCCTTTCTTAAAAGTCTCTCATTTGGTTTAAATGACCCTGCATGGTAGTTGGTATCCCATTTTACATGTAAGAACACAGGTTAGGTAACTTGCCTGAGGTCACCCAGGTACTGTGGAGCAAGGATGAGAAGATCCAGGTCTTGCAGTCTCCAAAACCCAAACTACTGGATAAACTTTCTGATAGATAATCCCAAGTATAAGATTGGGAGAGGTGTGGACAATTTGTTTTAAAAATAAAAACCTTTGTATAACATGTCATTTTTTTTTTAAGGGTAGGCTCTAGTTTCACAATGTTTGGGGATCTGTTTGAAGAAGATTATTCCAGTGTGTCAAATTATCAGTATGGAAAAGAGAAGAAATTAAAGACCAAAGCTTTGGAGCCACCGGCTCCTAGAGAATTCACCAATTTAAGCGGAATTAGAAATCAGGGTGGAACCTGTTACCTCAATTCCCTTCTTCAGACTCTTCATTTCACACCTGAATTCAGAGGTATGCTGTTACATGCTTTTGATTAGTAATATGTACCCTTATCTCTACATGTAATCAATTAGGCAAAATTACAAATTATCTTAAAGGTGTATTCCCCAGTATGCGTTTATTGTTGCTAATGTAAGAAATGCTAATTTTCTCTGTAGGGAGATGTGAAGCTTAAATTAAATATATTCTGTGCAAGCATAGTAATTTTTAGTAACAAAAAATAAGGCAATCGATTTCTAATTCCTGTAATTTAAAAGACAACATAAAGAATTTTGCCAGCCTTCGTTATTGTTATGCTATTTTTTTTTTTTTGAGTTTTAAAATTTCTCTAAAGTAATAAACACTCCAGCCAGAGTTACCCAAAACAATTTTGTCCTGCCTTTTGGAGTGGGGACGGGGCGTCACATTATTTATACAGTCCACAATCATTTATCTGCAATTCTGAAATCCAGAATGTTCTGACACCTGATCTGAACTGGTTTGGCATCAGAACCTGACCTGATGTGAGGCTGTTTATAGTCTTAGTTATCTCACTTGGGTGGATGTTCATACATTTATTACAGGACTATTAACTCCTTAATTAATGGATACTGTTTATCCCAAACCCTGCTGGGGATGTAGTGTTAACATACTATGACCCTTCATACTACCTTTCTAAAATCTGCAAAGTCCAAAGACCCAGTATGTCAGATAAGGGACTACGTATAAGAAACAGAAACCCACTTGTATTAGCTCAGTTAAAAGGGGAATTTACTGTAAGAATATAGGGGAATCTCCTTGAAACCACTACAGGAAGCCAGCCTGACCTCACTGAAGCCTTGATTTCTTGCCCCTGTTTTTCTCTGTTTGTCCCATTCCCATCTCTGCACACTAGCTTCCTCCACAAGGGTCTTAGTCTCTTTGATCCCTTGATTTCAATATGAACATTACCTTCACATGGCCCTGACTGGGGCCTTCAGCCACAAAGCTGCATGACTGGCTCAGCTCTCCACAGTGTCTCCTTATACTGAGGACAGACAACTTGGCTCATCCTGTATCCAGTATCTCATCCATCTTCCCATCACTACCAAATTTGGCAAATTTTTTGACATTTTCTGTTTGCTTCTAAGTTTAGAAAGACTTCCTGCCTCCAGAGATTTAGTAGATATTTACCATTATCCCCTCCCCAGGGTCATTCTAAGGGATTAAGCTGCATGTGGGATATCAGAATGGTGGCATTTGTCCTTGACTCCATCCTCTCCGTAAAAATCTCTCCCTAACGTATTCAGTTATTCCACCATTAGAAATTTTCAACATACATTTCAACAGATTGCTAGGGAGAGTTAAATTTTTCCAAGTTTTAATATAGTTGGGGTAGAAAATTAGCCTTAAAAGAGACTGAGAAAGGTGATTGGTGGGCAAGCGGTCCAGGTCATACAGAGGGCCACTGAGCAAGGTTAGGGCTGAATGGAGAAGGCAACTGAGCAAGAGCCCAGGCCATCTTACTCTCAGCAAAGGAGATCGCTGGCCAAGCACGTGGGCTTGTATCTTAATGTGGGCTGTGCATTCCATATAAGGCTTCATAGGAATCCTGATGCTTATTGAAGGGGAGATATAATTTAGAAGGGGTAAGAATTGGCAGAGTACTGGTGGGGAGAAGAATTCTGGAACTTTCTGGGATGGTATCTTGAGTAGGGCTTGATTGGGTTCCACTGTACTAGTCAGGGTGGCTGAGAGTACTGGGTAATAATTGTAAAAGTCCTTGTATGGTTTTGTGCTTTAAGCCTTATGTTTGTAATTCATTTCTTCCCAGTTCCTGCCAGGAGCTTAGGAGGAATATAACATTCATAACCAGGGCAGCGGGGTTTTCAGAGGGACACAATACCCATCCCATCCCTTCTCTCCCTAGAGTAGATCAAAGTTTCGTAGTAGGGAGTTCCCAGCTAGTTTCAATACAGACTTCCCGTACGATTCTGATACGCCCTAGTGAGTGGCATGCGTAGACTTGGGAGTATAAAACAATTGTGGAGACTGGCCCTGGGTTACCAACTTATTGTTCCAGGTAAGGTCACTACCCTCTGTTATTGCCTTTAACACAGAAAAGACATTCTTATACCAAAAAAAGTAAGGGCGTTGAGAGTTAAAGGTGGCCTTTCTCTCGAAAGGATGGTTGGGAGCCTCACACATGGCTTGTGAATGAACACACATGACACTATTATATACTGTATATTTCCTCATGTGACTTTTGGGACCCACTGCCATAGGCAATAGGAAGCCATCAAAGATTTCTGATGTTACTGTTTTTACTTTTATGAGTATAGTTTTCCTTTTATAGATCTTCTGTACTGAAACCTTAGCATGCCATTTTATATAGAGTCGGGGGTCAAAAGTAATGTTATCGGGAAGTAAAATGTGTAGAGTAACAGTATAAATACTGCCACCGTCATGCTTCTGAATCTTTAACTGATTTTATTTACTGGAGGCTTTGGCTTTCTAAAACAGTTTTTTAGAATGAAATAACATCATTTATCTCTCTGATTCTACGTTTTGTTTAGAAGCTTTATTTTCCCTTGGCCCAGAAGAGCTTGGTTCATTCGAGGATAAGGATAAACCTGATGCAAAGGTATTAAATCTATGATTTACAGGGTCTTTCTTTGGAGTATTAAAGAAATGTTTTTTAAGGAAGGAATTGAGTTCCTTATTCATAGAAATTCATAACTTTATTAATTACCAAATATTAATCTTTATTTTCAAGAAGTGACTTGGCCTATATGCGGGACTGAATGGAATCTTCCTTTCAAAAAAGAATTACTTCAAATATAGAGCTGGTACTGCTTTATAGACCTAGCTTGGTCAAGAAGATACTTGCAGCTGACCCACATTAGCCTACCAGGACATCTACTTAATGCACAGATTTGTAACAACAACAAAAAGTAGAGACTGGTGTTCTTTCAGTTTGATATTCTGGAAATAAGCTGAGTGAAGAATCGGTTTATTATAAGTACATATTTCATCTTCTTTTTCCTGGCTTTAAATACCATTCAGAAGTTTATTGCTTTCAGGCTAAAATCTGCGTTTCTTAATAGGAGTCTTCTTTGGGGTGCCTGGGTGGCCCAGTTGGTTAAGCATCTGCCTTCGGCTCAGGTCATGATCCCAGAGTCCTGGGATCGAGCCCCACATCGGGCTCCCTGCTCAGTGGGGAGCCTGCTTCTCCCTCTCCCTCTGCCTGCCTGCCTGTCTGCCTACTTCTGATCTCTTTCTCTCTCTCTCTGTCAAATAAATAAATAAAATCTTTAAAAAAAAAAAAAAGTCTTCTGTAATCTGGCCCAGCTCTTCTCAAACCACCTGTGCTGCAAAGAGCCAATTTTTGTGTATTTCCTTTTCTTCCCAATCTCTCGCAGATCATGCTCTAATGTCAAATTGCCATAGAAGTGTCTAAAGTCTTATTCTTGCTTTATATATGAAAGTCCAGTCTGCCCACAAGGCTCTGAGCCACCTTCTCTGCCTGCCCTAACCCTCCCCACACCAGATAAAGCAGGAAGACCATGAGGCAGGTGCATCCAGCTCTCTGAGGTGTCCAGACTCCGCAGCAAGTGAGAGTCGTGACTGGAGTTTTCCTCGCAGGGAGTGTGTCTCTATCTGAGAGGTTTCAGAGAAGGAGTGAACTAGCAAGAGACTGAAATGGTTGGCAGCAATCAGTCGGGTGGTTTCTTGGGGCCTATGGGGGTGTTCGTATTGATCTGTACTATGTCAAGGTAGAAAACTCCAGATAGCTAAAACTTTTTGGATTGAATTAGAATTTTAGAAGAAGAGTGAATCTTACTTCATCCTGTGTAATAGTTTTAAACTTCCTCCAGATTGAACTGAATGAACTAGGAAAGAGGAGAAAACTAGTTTGCAGTTCTTTTAAAACACCCCAACTGATGTGAACCGATTTTATTTAGAAATGCATTTGCTTCTCGATCAGGTTCGGATCATACCTTTACAGTTACAACGGTTGTTTGCCCAGCTTCTGCTCTTAGACCAGGATGCAGCATCCACAGCAGACCTCACTGACAGCTTTGGGTGGACCAGCAATGAGGTACGAAGATCAGCTTCTCCAAGGAACAAAGTTATCAGCAATAAAGAGTAAACACTGGTTTAATAACATTATCTAACTTCCTTTAATTTTGTCTTAGGGTCTGAAGAAGTAGTTTAAATATTTACTTCTCATGTTCAACAACTACAAGCCAGAGGTGTATTTCTAGACACTTGCCCTGTGCAGGATTTTATGAATGGGTATGATTTGGCATGGGAGAGAGGGTTGTAGATAGAGGGAGAAGTAGAAGAACTGGCTTTTACAATTTCTACCCTTTATATAGTCGAGTTGGGATACAACATCTACATGCAAATTACCATTTATATGACAAACTGCTAATCAGCTCAAAAAGCTGACTGGCAATAGTTCTGTCTGCCTTTATGACGTGCTTTTGTGTTTGGGTCTGGGTATTCTCATTGGAACACTCGCTTCAAGCAAAAGGGTAAAAACATTCTTGGCAGGTCTTTGCATTTTCCATGTCCTGCTTTTCTCCAGACTCTCTTCATTTTCTTCCTGTATCCTCCTGTGTGTGGACGTTGTCTGATTTTCTGTTGGAGTTTCTAAAGAGTACTTCACTATATGCAAACACTGAACATGTCAACAGTGAGTAAAGGTGCTTGTTGTCAATACTGATGAGCTGCGATTTTTTTATGGACTACACGTATTCTTGAAAGAGAGAGGTGTGGGAGAATTTAAAGAGGCAATGACCAGAATAACGTTATATTGCCTTCAAAGTAAACTTTACAGTGTGGTCTTCTAATGAGGAACGCTCCTAACCAGACAAGGCTGTGAGGTTGAAGAGGTAGGGCTTAGGCTTTGAAGAAAATGGGGTATCACACAGTTAAATTTCTGGTGTAGGGCAGGTGATTAGGGTTAATTCCTTGTTCCTTCCTTGTTTTAAAAATGGCCTCTCTGTTGAGATACAGTTCACATGCCTATAGATTCACTCTTCAGGGTACAAGTCAGCATTTGTTCAGTATATTCACAGAGTTGTACAACCATCATAACAGTCAATTTTAGAACATTTTCATCACCCCAAAAAGAAACCCCATACCCATTAGCAGTCACTCTCCCCCCCAGACCCTGGCAACCACTCACCACCTTTCTACCTTCCCAGATTTGCCTGTTTTGTGTATTTCACAGAAATAGACATGGAATTATACGATATGAGATCTTTTTAAAGTAGTTTCTTTCACTTAAAATCATGTTTTCAAGATTCAAGCATGTTACAGTGTGTATCAGCACTCCATCCCTATTTATTTTATAAATAAAAATATTTATTATTTATAATATCCTGCGGGAGGGATGGGCCACATTTTTTTTAATCTCGTCATCAGCTGATGGATTTTCGTTTTTGATCATGAGCTTCCACTGAGTTGCTGATTTCGTACTCTTAAAGCAGTGAAAACCTTACTTATTAATCTCTAAATAAAATCTCTCAGGAAACCTGCTAGGATTGGTAGAGAGGGACTCAGAGACATCTTTGCCAAACTTAGAATTGTTCAGAAACAGAGCTTAAAAACTTGCACAGGTTCCCTTCAGAGGCAGTGATACAGGAGAAATTTAGTGTCTTGTATGTTGAAAAACAAGAAAAAAGATCCTGAGACCCACTTCTTGCTCCAGCTTTCATCCACTTTATCAGCTTCTTTTCACACGACACTTTTCTTTAAAATTGTCTTTCCTCGTGGTCTCTACTTCTGCACCTTTCATTTGTTCATCTACCTCCTTTCTGCCTTTCTTGTCAAAGTCACTCATGACATCCATGTGCCAAGTTCTAGGAGACGCTTCTGTGCTCTCAGCAGGCTCTCAGGGGCATTCACCACCCCTCCCCACCCCCGACCCCGTCAAAGCACCAGCTCCCACTTGTTCCTTCTTTGCTTTAAAAATGGCCCCTTTGTTGAGATACAATTCACATGCCGTAAGATTCACTCTTCAGGGTACAAGTCAGCACTTGTTCGTGACCTCATCTCCTGGTCCCCCCCACCCCCTGCCACTGCTCTTCCTCCTCTGCTCCACTTCTGAGTGTTGGTGTCCCCCTTGGCTCTGGTTTATCAGTCGTTCTTAAGGCGTTCAGTCTGTTCTCACACAGTCGCATGACTCGTGGTGGAGTGAAGCGAGTGCCATCGGAATTTTTCTCATCTCTGTGTTACTTGGTTTGTATCTGTAAGCAGTAAATTCTGGTTCTTTTCAAATGCTGATAATTCAGATCCCCTGATGTAAGTGAGACGTTGCCAGCTCTGAGAGACTGCTCTGTGCCTGTTGTGTTCTTCCCTCCTCTGCTTCTGTGGCGTGGCCATATGTGTGGTTTCCCACACGAATAAAAGCACTTTCCTGTTGCAAGTGAGTTGAGTTATATGTACACACTGAACACCACCTGTTCATATTTCATTTTGGAGTGAAACTAAAAGCAGTGGTGATCTCTTAAGCTGATCTTGGTTTGTTTAGCTTAGTCATCCTTAATATTTGATCAAGGCTTACCTTTGGATTTCTAGATAAATCTTGTGTTTTTTTTAACTAATACCATTTTAAAAATCTGTTTTTAAAAATCTGAAGCACAAAATTACATTTAAAAGTTACCTGTTTTATAGGAAATGAGGCAACATGATGTGCAGGAACTGAATCGAATTCTCTTTAGTGCTTTGGAAACCTCTTTAGTCGGGACCTCCGGCCATGACCTCATCAATCGTCTGTATCATGGAACCGTTGTTAACAAGGTTGTTTGTAAAGAGTGTAAGAATGTCAGTGAAAAGCAGGTGAATATGCAAGTGTGTTATAGTAATAAGTTGTATCGTAATTTATAAGGCACATGATTAAATCTGTGATCTGTAATATTGTGAGGAGCAAAGTGTTTATTACTAGAAATAACCTTATCAGGTTTTTTTCTTTTATTCTACACTTCAATCCTAAATTTATAATCCAGATTTCTTCATATAAACTGAAAGAAGCAAATGTCTTAAAGCATAGCTTTAATCTTTTATTCAGTTCTCTGATATTCAGAAAATAAATTTGGGGGATGTTTATAGGTAGAGGTCTGTGCCCTCATGAGAAAAGCCAATATCATGGTTGGTGGGAGTATTCTAACAAAAGTTAATTAAAGAAGTAATAAAAATAGAGAATACTAAGGAATGTTTACATTGATAAACATCGATAATTAAATACTGGATTTCGTTTATTAATGTCCTTCAGAAAGTGCATTTGTATGTGTGCATTTGTATGAGCTTATGTTGTCCATTTAATCTCATTGGAAATTAGAAATCGGAAATTTGCTCATGAAATAGAATAATCTCCTCTTGCTCTATAAATCTTGTACAGCACATGATTGTATCACTGAATAGTTGTTCCTTAATGAAAATCTCCTTTTGTTATCGCAAGAGTTAACAGAAAATTGCTGTGATTGACTGTGGGTAAAAAATTAAATGCCATTTTCTAAATTTTGCGTTAATTGCTTTTTTGGATCATAGAGATATATGTATATATTTTCTGCTTTTTATGAAAGACTTGGGAATAAAAAATACTTTTTGGTCCTTTTGCCTGTGCTACTAGAGAGTTTAGTCAGCCTAGATTGGAAATATTAAGATGTTGTGTGTCTTTGGATTACCATATGATTGACTTAACTATACTGTAATAATTCACAAAGAAATTTCAAGAAATAATGTATATGAAGGCACATAATTATCAACTTTAACTTTTCATACATACATATTATAAATTGTATGTGTTGTTCGTATTTAGATTTCCACCACGAACTAGTTAGAACTCATTATTTTACAGTCCCTGTAATAACCCCTTGGAGTAATGCTAGTGCACACACACACAAAACTGAATGATTTCAACTTGTCAGATTTTGTGTTTATTACTATAAGTAAATTATAATTCAAATGTAGTTATAGTAGAGTCGATAGACTCCTGTTTGCAAAATGCTCTCCTCTTAATTTTCATAAAAATACCTTTTAATCCTGGCTCAAAACAATTTTTTTCTTACAACTTCTTAGTATATCTTAAGCCAGCCCTAGCAGAAGAGGAGAAGGAAGTGGGGTTTACGCTAGAGACTCCAGCCCTGCCCAGGACTGAGACAGAACTGATAAGCACCACGCACTTACCAGTTCAGATGTGTGTTCGGTGGTTTGTTTTAGTTCCTGCTAAAATAGGCTTGATTATAGCTACAACGAACTTAAGGAAAATCCTGATGTATTTTAAGCCAAATTATAATTTGTTTTAGGGTAATTTTGTGTGATCAATTTCACAGTATCTGATTGGGAGGTCTATACCTTCACACATACAGTGTTTTAGGGAGAAGTTATCTGTTATTCCCAGTATATGTAGGAGTTGGTGATGTGTTCGTGAACCACTGTGAAATTGTTTTTTCAATATTATATTCATGTGTATTTCAGGAAGACTTCTTAGATCTAACAGTAGCAGTAAAAAATGTGTCAGGTTTGGAAGATGCCCTCTGGACCATGTATGTAGAAGAGGAATTGTTTGACTGTGACAACTTATACCACTGTGGGACTTGTGACAGGCTGGTTAAAGCTGCCAAGGTAAGCCAGATACCTGCCTTCTCCCAGGGGCCCACTCAGTACTTGGTAGCATGAAGGTTTGCCAAGTGAAATCAGCTTGTATGAGAAAATCTGGAAGATACACATGAACCTCTTAATTGCAGCTAAGGATTGAAAAGACAGTTACTTTCTACATATATCTGTATTTTACATTTTTACAATCAAGAATTTTTTTAAGCTTTCAACCCAACAGGTCTCTCAACTTCTTTCTGTCCCAGGAAAAATTTATGTGTACTTCAGTGTTTCTTAAATGTGCCTTTTTTTAAAAATAAACTCCCCGTATCCTTGCTTTTTGCAAACTAACATAAGGAAGAGGGCGATGGATTTTTGTTTCTGCCAAGAAGCTCATTAAGCTTTCCTTTCTTTGCTTACTACTGCGAAAACAGCTTCATTTTCTGCACATGGAGTTACTTTACGATATTGATAGGTATACCCTCCCTGATTAGCAAGTCTAATACGCCCCTTCTGCCTCCCCCAGTGGGGATACTCATCTTGCCGATTAAAGGGCCTGACAGGGTACCTGTGGGTTTCTTACTCAGGGATGAGAGGAAGACAAGCCTTAGTAACTTAACTATTCCACTGCTGCTGGATGATGTGATGGGCTCTCCAGTCGGTGGCTAGTGGGCACCGGCTTGTAGGGCTCCCACAAAAGATGGGTCTTTGCAGTTACCTGTAACAGAAAGCACCGTTCCTAGAGCTGACAGTTACTGAATTTTCCAACAAACAGAATGAGGACTGATTCATAGAACATACCATATTGATTTAGATCCTGGAGGTTGTAGGTTAGAATGTTAAAAACAAAAAACAAAACTCCATGCCTGTAGCTTTCACAATAGGATTGGAAACCAGGGTAATTTTACACTGTTTAATGTGTATTTCCATCCAACCTTTGCCTTTTTGTGACACGCAAATAGGTTTATCTTTCACTTATCGATTTTTCATTTCACCCTTGGTGTTAAAACTACGATCTAATAAATATAAAATTCAGAAGATGAAAAGTCTTGGAAGGATACTTAAAACACATTCTTAATTTTGGTTGAACTTATTTGCACATTAGTAAAACAAGAACCTTTAGCTCAACGAAAGCAGTTCTTGGCATGTACTTTTTATGTTACTGGTTTAATTCTTTTTCAGTGGAAATTTTTTCATCTCAATACTTTTAAAATTGCACCCTAAATTTCCATTTGTTGTGCTACCTAAATCAATGTAGGTTTTCTTATTCTGAGCAGACTTTTCTCGGCTGTAGTATAGAAGAAATACTTGGGTTTTTTAGATATATATATTTTTTAACATGTTGGAGAATCTGCCGTGTTACATTGCTGTTTTTTCACTTAACTTTTTTAACCCACAATTTGTGGAATTGTTTTAAATTTCTTTTTAGGAATGTTAGATATTTATATGTAAGGATAATATTAAGGACAGCTTTATAGATGGAAAGGATTTTTTTTGCCACTCCCTACCCAACATACCATTAGTGTTAAGGGGTTGGGAAGCTGATGACTTTTAAATAAAACGCAGCATCATCTAGCATTTTGTTTTAAAGCAAGGAAATAAAAAAAACCTTTTTACCTGCTTTTAAGGACAGTCATTATAAAACCCCAATCAATGGGTCTTAACATTTGGGGAGTGAGAGCCTTTTGAAAGTCTAATGAAAACTGTGGATCTTCTCCCCGTAAAAATATAAGTATGCAGACCATGTAATTTCAAGGGTTCAGATCCACTGAAATAGGTCCATAGGTCCCAGGTGAAGAGCTCCAGTCCTTCAGTAAATAAAAGGACCGTGTGTGTGCTAGGCAAAGTGGAGGCACCGAGGAGGCCAGGACTCACACAGGGAAGGAGCAGTGTTAGAAGGGGGGGGGGGGGCACCAGTTACAACACACTTGTCGGATAGCTTTGATTATAGGATATCAACGCTAAAAACATGAACTTGGGTTGTAAATTTTTAGTTAACATAAATGAGCAGTATCACCTTTAGTCCCATAAAAGAGATGAATTCATATCAAGAGCTGACTTGAATCCAAGATGATGAATTTATGTGATTGAAGGATACGTTTCTCTTAAAACTGCATCACGGGTTGCTTTTTCATATCTTAAGAAACATTATGTATTCTTTTCTATAACTCTGCTTTTAAAACAACTGTAAAAATTTTTCTTTCAACAGTCGGCCAAATTACGTAAGCTGCCTCCCTTTCTTACTGTTTCATTATTAAGATTTAATTTTGATTTTGTGAAGCGTGAACGATACAAGGAAACTAGCTGTTACACGTTCCCTCTCCGGATCAATCTCAAGCCTTTTTGTGAACAGGTTTGAATTATTTTATTGTGAAATTCTTTCTTTTCTTCTCTCAAGATTGAGTCTTTTGTTGGTCTCATTTTCAGTTGGCTTATTGCAGAATCTTTTAACCTGGCACAGTTAATATTTTGAGTTGGGTAATTCTTTGTTGTGGGGTCTGTATCTCATGCGTTGTAGGGTTGTAAGCTGCATCCCTGGCTTCTGCCTGCTAGATGACAGTAGCATCCCACCCTCCCACCCCACCCCCAGTAGTGACGAAAATGTCCAGACCTTACCAAGTGCCCGTGTCTCCTGGGGGAGAGCGTGGATAAAATCAGTCCCAGACGAGAACTGCCGGTTTATTACAGTCCTTTTGAATTCCCAAAGTACAGATTTGTTCTCAGTTCTTTTTATTAAACTCTCCTTGAAAAATCTTTGAAAAGAAAAATTAAGAACAAAATTAGAAACGACCCAACATTAGGAGAAATGACCATTAATTAGCACCTTGTTATTTAGATTTAGCTTACATGAGATGCAATAATGAATTACACGTCTAGAAAGTGAATAGGTGATTGGAACTTTGCTAGAATTCATAATCTTTGAGATACAGGAAGGAAAGTTTTGAAAACTAATTATACAATGTACTTTATAAGCCATTTTAAAATATTTTCTATATAATCGCTGTACATGCCAAGATCAGAGTCATGAGACTGCTGCATTTCTTACTACAAATCATTATTTGTATTTTTATCAAGACCAGAAAGAACATTTATTAAGTAGCTATTGAGTTTCTTTGTATAAAAATTATATTTTCTTTATTCTTCCGTTCGGATGGGCCGCCTTCTACTTCAAGCCTGATAGCTGAGCTTTTTGGGTTTTGTTTGAATGGCACATACAGAATGAACAGTTTTTCCAGAGTAAGTTAATATACCCCCCCATTTACTGCCTGAATAAAACAGTTTTTGGGGGCGCCTGGGTGGCTCAGTCGATTAAGCATCCAACTCTTGATCTCAGCTCAAGTCTTGATCTCAGGGTTGTGAGCCCTTGCATTGGGCTCCATGCTGGGCGTGAAGCCTACTTAACAACAACAACAATAATTTTTTTTTTCCAGATAACTGAGTTAATTCTTTTATAATTTTCCAGTTTTGTTGAGAAATAATTGACAGACATCATTGTACGTTTAAGGTGTACAGGATGATGGTTTGATTTACATATATTGCAAAATGACCACACTAGATTTAGTTAACATGTATCATCTCATATGGACAAATTTTAGCTCTTTAAAAAAAAAAGTAGTTTTGAGGCGCCTGGGTGGCTCAGTCGTTAAGCGTCTGCCTTCGGCTCAGGTCATGATCCCGGGGTCCTGGGATCAAGCCCCGCATCGGGCTCCCTGCTCCGCGGGAAGCCTGCTTCTCCCTCTCCCACTCCCCCTGCTTGTGTTCCCTCTCTCACTGTCTCTCTCTCTGTCAAATAAATAAATAAAATCTTTAAAAAAAATTAAAAATAAAAAAAGTAGTTTGTCACATTATTTTAACATACTTTGAAATTACAAAATTGAAATACGTGAACCATTGAGCACTAGCTAAGAAATTGACCATAATTTTACTTTTTGATTTCTGTATTTATGAAAAAAATTGTCACTTTGCATCTTTGTTCATCTCTCTTTTGCCTGAACCAGACATTTTAAAAATACTACTTACTTTAAAAGTACAAAAAAATAAAAGTACAATGTTTCAGGGAAGTAAGTTTCTTCGATAATTGGCACCCTTCAAATAGCATGTTCACATGCAAAGTATCTCAACCCAAAGTAGATTTTTTTTTTAATGCCAGTATAAGTGTTCATCAGTTGGGTCAGTCATAATTATAGAGCATGTTAATTATAGAAAAGATTGATCATAGAAGAAAGAACCTGTTCATCCCACTAAACTGCCTCTAAACAAACAGCTAGTATTCATAATTGCTTAATTCCTGTGCTGCGGAGCGCAGTGTCAGGAGGGTGGTAGTGGATATGGCTCTGACTCTGAGGCCCATGTTGGAATATAGGACAAATTCAACAGCTAAAGAACACATTTCTAAAGCGGCATAGTAGGTATAAGACAAAGGTGGTTTTCTCCTGCTAAAACTATCACAGATGCATTGGGGAGTGTGTTTTATTAGCACTTTGGCGTACGTGATCTTAGCCAAAGCACATAAAAATAACATTTTGTGTGTTTTCATATTTAAGAGGCAGAACTTGCTTGGTTGTTGTGTGATTGGTATTAGATGAATGACAGTTTTCAATCTAAGAATTAAAAATGTTGAAATTTAAAGCCAATTACTCAAATTTATCTTAATTTACCCCTAAATAATGATATTAAACAGGTTTCTTATTTTAATAGTTGAAATTCTTTCTTCTCTTTGGTCATGTGTCTTCCCACTTTACCTAAACTCTCACTGTTTACGCTCTTTTTCCCACAGAGTGACTCAGATGACTTGGAGCATGTATATGATCTTTTCTCGGTTATTATACATAAAGGTGGTTGCTATGGAGGACATTACCACGTGTATATAAAAGATGTCGATCATCTGGGAAACTGGCAATCTCAGGTAAGCATAGCAATTAGTTCTAGTCTTACTATTTTGGTGAGGATCATCTTTTGCCATGTATTGTGTATATTCACCCTCGGAAATTTTTATAGGCATGGAAAGTCAATACAGTTAGAAGTTTTAAATTTTTGTTTCTAAAGTTTCATACTTACAGAAAAATAACCAGCATCGTAGGAACACCTTCTGTAGATACTCTTCACCTGCATTCTTCAGTTGTTAACAATTTGCCAAGTCTGTGCAAACATACACACACAGTTAACATTATCTTATGAGTACTGAACCATCTGAAATTAAGCTGAAGACGTCAGATCCCTCTACCCCTAAATACTTCCGTGTTTATCTCCTGAGAATAAGGGTGTTTTAGATCAAAATCGGAAACTTCCACATTGAAATGATACTACTCTCCAATAAAGAGTTTATACTCCGACTCCACCGGTTGTCTCATCAGATCCTTTATAGCATTTTCTTCCCCACTCTAGTGTCAAGTGCAGGGTCCTGCATTATATTTAGTTAGCATATCTCTTAGATCTCCTGTAATCAATAACTGTTCCTCGGCTTCTCTTTGTCTTTTGTGGCACCAGCCAAATCTGATACCATTTATTGAATAATCCATTCTTGCCCCACCAATCCACAGTGCCAGTTCTGTTATATCAATTGTTTATTTATGCATGAGTCCTTTGGGGCCCCTCTATTCTGTTTCATTGTTCCTTTTCTCTATTCTTAGGCCAATACCACATTGTTAGTTTCTGTAGCATTATAGCAGTCATGATATCTGGTAGGGCAAGTCTCCCTGTGTGGTGTTACTCTTCAGGAGTGTCTTGGCCTTTTATACTTCTGTGACCATTTCTAGAATCAGCTTGTCAGTATTCACACACATACAACACCCATTCTCAGAAGTAGTAGAATTTTGAACCTACATCTATAAGTCAGATAAATCTTTTCATATTTTAGAGCTTCTTATTGAAAAAGCTTTGTAATTTTCTTAAGAATTTGCAGATGTTCTGAGGGAAAGCGCCACCTGGACGTCTAGTTCCAGTTATTTACAACGGGAAGACTCAAAGTGTGTTACACACCAACCCCAACCTCTCAACCAGTTTTCTAACATGTATCTAAAACACAGTGAAATTTCAGTCTATAAGTTACAAATCATCGTGGGAGGATGTAGGATGCTTATGATGTCTTCCCGATTATCAGACAGGTGCTATTGTTAATCAGTAGTTGCACCACATATAGTAATACAGCTTCTCTGGGTGACAACAGTGTTCTAGATGCATGTTCTCTTTGTTGGCATTGTTTGCTTTTCAGAACATCTGTCTGTATTTCTCATGCTCCATCCGTTGTACTTTGGTATTAAAAAGTATATGGATATTTAAAAAGTCAGACTTTTTATTTGTTATTTACCAGGGAGATGTTCTGTGGGGCTGTGTCTCAACTTTGTATTTTTTGGACTGTTTGTGGCTAGTGTATGAAATGCAGTTACCGTTAGTTTACTGATTTTACAAATCAGCCATCTTGCTAAACCCTCTTCCGTTGCAGACATCTTTGGAGAAAGACTGTTTTGTTTCACCCTTTCCAGTCCTTGACCTTCCATTTCGTTCGGCCGAGAACGCCGTACAAGTATCACTCCCAAATGCTTATGCCACATTTGCCAAGACGCTGGTTTGTGGACACATTCCCATTCAGACCAAGAGAAGGTCTCCTATCCTCATCTGGTCTCATTCGGCCCTCAAGGTTTCTGTGCTTAGTTGGAGCTGATTCCTATCATGCTGCCTGTCTTCGCTGCTTTCTTATTTCCAGGGTCCTGTAGTAGAGAGTTCGGGTTCTCTAGAGCAGCCTTCTCCCCCGCTTCTCAAACAATTATTTGAGCTTAATTTCACTTTCCCTAAAAAATGATGTTGAAGGTTTTTCTCAGATGCCAATATAAGCTTGTGAACAGGTCTAATAAATATTTATTATGTGGTTCATTTCTTTTCTTAGCTTTGCCCACCATAGTCTTGGCTTCTTTTTTCCAGGTATGCCTTCATCTGTGTAACCTTTTTTTCCAGTGTTGCCCTGTCTCTTCAGTCTGAGAAAGTGCTCCCGCTTTCCACCCTGGTTCAGCTTCCAGCTGAGGGCGTGCGCCTCCGCTCTCCTCAGTGCCGCTCCAGCTTTTGTTCAGCCACTGTCTGATTTCCGGCACTTTTAGAGGTGCTGAGGTTTAGCGTCAGTCTTTGACCCATCAAATATTTATTTGCAGTTTTATTTTCCATTTTATCGTTGAGGTCACTCACAGAGATGGCCTCGTACAGTGGTGAGGTCACGTGTCTCGAGCGGTGATTCTCTCTCCCGTGTCTTCCTTCTGGGTTGTGCTTCCTTGGACAGCTCTGCGCTTACGTGTTCACTTCCTCAGAATCCCTTTGCTCTTCTCTGGCATCATCGGGCTCTTCTCCTGGGTCTGCTGTGTGACTTAAGAGGGCACACAGGCACTCTGTCATTTGGTTTTGCTCTCCGCACTGCTTCTCTGCTCCTAAAGCTTTGTTATATTAGCAAGGTCTTCCTCCAGGCTTGAAGAACAATCAGAAGAGCGCTTTCCATTTGTGCTTAGTATTCCTCCTTATTCATGCCTTCTGTGAAGCATCCCGTTTGTTAAATTTTTTTCCTTATTGTGTTTTTCCAGAATCACTACTTTTTCATCCAGAGTTTTATGGTACTCACATAATCAGTAGTGCTTTAAGAATTTCAACTTCAGTACATATACCTGCTGGACCCGGCCTGTCTTTTTATTACCATTATTCTGAGAGATTTCTTGTGCCCAGTGACCTAGGATTCCATATATTCTAATCATAGCCTGGTCTTGTTCTTTCTTCTTAGAGTTTGGCAATTCCTTCTTCCCTTTCAAGAAGCTGTTCCCTGCATGCATGGAGTTCTTTAGTGGGTACTGTATGCAAAGAAAACTTACATGACCAATCGGACATAATCTTCCCTGGTTTTAAGGCAACATTTCAGGGGCTCCTGGCTGGCTCAGTCGGTAGAATGTGCGACTCTTGATCTCAGGGTGGTAAGTTTGAGCCCCGTTTTGGGGGTAGAATTCATTTTAAAAAACAATAAAAATAATAAAGGCAACATTTCTGTCTCTCTTTGTCTAGAAGATGATCCCTTTCTTCTAGTATGGAGGCCATTAACTATTCAAAATGTGACTCTAGATCTGGCTGTGAAAAGGAGCCTGATCTTTGCTTTCTGCTTCTTTAGCGACCTTTTGCTTCATTGATGGTTGAGTGACATTATCTTCCACATTTGAGGAAGTGGGTCAGAGAAGGCTTCACAACAGCTCCCAATAGGCAGCCCGGAACTAGTTTCTACTGTCCCAACAAGGCCAGGGTTGGACACTGGCAAAGTGGAGGAGGGCTGGGCCTCGCCTCTTTGTCACCTGTACCAGCATGTCAAATAGGGGGCAGTGCTGGCCTACCTCTCCCCTTCTACCATTTTTAAATCTCTTTTTCCTTAATCACGTCTTAAACATACTAAACATGCTATTTTATTGGTCTGATAATTGCAGTATCTGAAGACTTTGTAGGTCTGATGTGGATATCTGCTGATTCTTTTTTTTAAGATTTTATTTATTTCTCTGAGACACAAAGATACGGAGAGAGAGAGCGAGAGAGAGCATGAGCAGGGAGAGAGGCAGAGGGAGAGAGAGAAGCAGGCTCTCCCCGCCGAGCAGGGAGCCCAATGTGGGGCTTGATCCCAGGACCCCGGGATCGTGACCTGAGCCGAAGGCAGACGCTTAACCATCTGAGCCACCCAGGTGCCCCTGGATATCTTCTGATTCTACTTCCTTATGGTCTGGTTATTTTAGACTGTAGCCTTGTTTGGTTGGTTTTTTAAGAATGTGATTTACTGGAGTAATTTGAGGACTGAGTTGAAAGTGCCTTCCTCCGAAAAAAGTGTTTATCTCTATCACATGCCTGGGGTCACTTCCAACCCTACTTTAAAATCAGATCCTGATTTTATGGTTTTAGAGCCATACAGCTAGTGTAAGTTTGGACCACAAACCCAGATGGGGACCTACTTGTGATTACAAATTATTAGAAATGTTTTTCTACCTTTATCTAATATCGAGGTCAAAGCAAGCGAGTTCCTCATTGTCCTTTATTGTGGGGTGTATTTTGTCTAGGTCATGTTTGTACTGAGAAGGTAGGTAGCTCTTTCTTTCTAGCTGCCTGCTGAAGTTTATCTTTGTGGTATAATTAAAAAGTATATACTTGGGGCGCGTGGGGTGGCTAAGTCAGTTAAGTGTCTGACTCATGATTTCAGCTCAGGTCATGATGTCATGGGTCGTGAGATTGAGCCCTGCGTCAGGCTCTGTGCTCAGCGGGGAGGGAGTCTGCTTGAGATTCTTTCTCTCCGTCTCCCTCTGCCCCTCTGAACCCAGCTCGTGTACTCTTTCAATCTCTCTCTCTCTCTCAAATAAGTAAATCTTTAAAAAAAAAAAAAGAAAGAAAGAAAGAAAAAAGTATATACTTGGTCTTTATCCCAGGTTCCTGGAATAGAGGTCCATGAAATTGCATGAGTGATAGGCATGTCTTTTGTTGTTCATAATGAACCCCTTTCAACCACACCTGAGTTCATGCTAATGGGATGACTCTTGGTGGGGCCTAGATATCTTCAGAGTGAGGCCTGGTCACCAGAGGAAACAACCACATGAACAGAGCATTGGTGTTTTTAGCCTCAGCTCCTGATCTGTGGAGGGAAGAGGAGCTGGTGATTGAGTTCAGTCAGTCAGTCATGCCTACATGTTGAAACTTCAATTAAAACTCTGAAGCAAGGTATGCCTGGGTGGCTGTTAGTTAAGTGTCTGCCTTCAGCTCAGGTCATGATCTCAGGATCCTGGGATTAAGCCCCACATCGGCGCCCTGCTCGGCAGGGAGTCTGCTTCTCAGAACCTCTCCCTGTACCCCTGCTCGTGTGCGAGCTCACGCTCTCTCTCTCTCTCAAATAAATAAAATTAAAAAAAAAAAATTCAAACCAGGAGACTAAGGGAGCTTCTGGATGGTGAACACATCCACATGCACGGAGGGTGGCCACCCTGACTCCATGGGGATAGAGGCTTCTGCCCTCAGGGCCCTTCCTGACCTCACCCTATGTACCTCTTCATCTGGCTGTTCATTTGTATCCTTTGTACTAAACTATAGTTCTGTGTATAAGGTTCTGAGCTCTGTGAGCCATTCCAGGAAATTATCAAACCTGAAGTGGGGATTGTAGGAACCCTAGAACTTGTAATCAGCTAGGCAGAAGTGCAGGTGGCCTGGGACCCCATTTGTGGCTGTTGTCTGACGTGGGGGCAGTCTTGCGGGACTGCATGAAGTTGGTATCAAAACTGAACTGAATTGTGACACCCAGATGGTGTCAGAGGAGCAGAGAACTGGTTGTTTGGAAAACCAGTGGTTCAACTCCATACTTTGGGGGGTCCTTGGACTTTGTCTCCCAGACCTCATCCTGTATGAGCATCAGAGTGGAAGCTGTATCAGCAAGATGGGACAGCTGGAGGCCTCAACTCTGGATTTCCTCCCTGGGTTCCCATTTCACTTGTTCTCTGAGGATTTCCCTGATAGTCTCTTGGTAATTCAGTGTGTGTTTTAAAAAAAGTGCCTTTGTTTGTTTTGTTGTGTTTACTTACCCAGCATTTTTAGTAATCTTTTAGTAGAATAGTTGTATTTAGTCTACCATTTTGTTTTGCTGTCTCTTTATTATTTTTGTCTCTTGTTATTAGGTCTGTTTGATTTATGGTTTTAAGTCAAATGAAACTACTTTTGCAAGATGGCATATATAAAAAAATCAATGAATAAAAATACCTTATTTTGACATGTTCCCTAATAACTTCATAGAGTGGGGTGCAAATTTGGACGATCAGGAAATAGAAGCGAGCACTAAGCTGCACTTGCCAGTGACACACAACATGTCAGGATTCGTAGGGTGCAGCTGAAGTGGTGCCTACTGGGAACCTGTCAGGACCTACCATGTGTGTGTTGTGCTGGGAGTTATCTTATGGTTCCGTTCACAGATCATGCCAGAGAGATTAAATGATGTATCTGGGATTCGTCAACCAGAGCTGGAAATCAAAGCCAGGTCTGCAGAATTCCAAATAATACATAAGTTATAACGATGTTTTTATCGTCATTTCTCCGTTTTGAAACTTCCACAACATGAACATTTCTATTTTGTTAATTACCTTTTAAGGGATAAATTTTTATTGTTTTCCTTTCTAGGAGGAAAAAAGCAAACCAGATGTGAATTTAAAAGATCTCCAGAACGAAGAAGAGATTGACGATGATCCACTGATAATTCTGAAAGTGATCTTACTACAGGTAGAGAGAGAGTTTATATTTGTGTGTGTGTGTTTCAGATATGTTCGCATATGTGTGAGAGAATTCATTGACAGAACTGATATCGGTACTATTTGTAGTCTTATTCCTTTGGGACATTCTCTATTTTTACAATTTGTTTATTGGGAGACTTTCTGGTTATTAAAAAATTAATGTTTGTGGTAGAAAATTTGAGAGAAAAAAACTGGGAAATATGTTAAAAGTATAAATAAACCAAGTACCCAATAGTTGATAACACTTTAATGTATATTCTTTGCATTCTGTCTTCTCTGTGTTTATATACATATATTGGGATTGGGTTATAGGGTTTTGGGTATTACTGTCCTTTTAAATAGAAGTGGGATTTACCTAAATGTACGTATTGTTTTTGGAATTTGCTGTCTTCCCATGTTATCCTACTCTGTAGTTCCTGAGGTTATGCCCCCTTTTTCATTCCTAATATTGATACACTGATAATGCCTCAAGTATATGACTTTTTAACGTTTCCTTAGCGCTGTGTTGTAAAGGTGGTAAGTTTCTTGCATGTATTTATCCATTCTTAAAAAGACTTTCTTAACTCGGGCGCCTGGGTGGCTCAGTCGTTAAGCGTCTGCCTTCAGCTCAGGTCATGATCCCGGGGTCCTGGGATCGAGCCCCGCATCGGGCTCCCAGCTCCGCGGGAAGCCTGCTTCTCCCTCTCCCACTCCCTCTGCTTGTGTTCCCTCTCTCGCTATGTCTCTCTCTGTCAAATAAATAAATAAAATATTAAAAAAAAAAAAAAGACTTTCTTAACTCTTTACCATGGATCTCGGCTGAGTCCTTTAACCACCTTGGTCTGTGGCTACTGTATCAGTCTGCTGGGGCTGCCATAACAAAGGACCACAGACTGGGGGACTAAAAACAACAAATTTATTTTCCCACAGTCGTGGAGGCTGGGAGTCCAAGATCAAGGTGCCAACAGGTTTGTTCTCTCCCGAGGCCTCTCCGTGGCTGGCAGATGGCCACCTCCTCGCTGTGTGCTCACATGATCTTTCCTCTGTACCTATGCATCTCGAGGATCTCTGTGTGTCTTTTCTTCTTCCTATAAGGACTCCAGTCAGATTAGACTAGGGCCCATCCTAATGACCTCATTTTTAACATCAACACTTCTTTAAAGGCCCTATCCAAATAAAGTCAAAGTTGAAATCTTGAGGGTTAAGGAGTCAACATATGATTTGGCAGGGGGGTGGGGGATGGACACATTTCAGCCCAAAATAGTCGCTTCTTACTCCCTTTTAGAACTTGTTTATATTTGGAAACATTCAGAAGAGATATTGATAATCCACTTTTGCACTTAAATATTTCTTTTTTTTAAAAGATTTTATTTATTTGACAGCAAGAGAGGGAACACAAGCAGGGGGAGTGGGAAAGGGAGAAGCAGGCTTCCCACGGAGTGGGGAGCCCAATGCGGAGCTCGATCCCAGGACCCTGGGATCATGATCCGAGCCGAAGGCAGATGCTTAACAACTGAGACACCACCCAGGTGCACTTAAATATTTCTTGTAAAAATCCCACAAAATATCAGGAATTTACCCAATCTCAGAATACTCTTTGGATACTCTTTAAATGTTTAAACTTGGGGCGCCTGGGTGGCTTAGTCGTTGAACGTCCAACTCTTCATTTCATCTCAGGCCATGATCTTAGGGTTGTGAGATGGAGCTCCACATCAGGCTCTGCCCTTAGCAGGGAGTCTGCTTGGGATTCTCTCTCTCCCTCTGCGCCTCCTCCCACTCATGCGTGCACATGCTCTCTCTCTCTTTCTCTAAAATAAGTCTTTAAAAATAAATAAATAAACGTTTAAACTTTGGTGCAGGAATGCACAATTCAAGTTTTCTACACTGAGGCTTCATCTACTTTTTTAAAAAAAATTTTTATTTTGAAACAGTTACGGTTAATCCACTTACATGTTCGCTGTCTTAGGCCCATTTAATTAGATTTAATCCTGTTGGTCCCTTTGAACTCATAAATGTTACAGTTACATCTCATCACATTTTCTTAAATGATTGTTTCTTTCAAAAGGAGGAGAATAATGTAATTCCTGTTGATCAGCTGGGCCAGAAACTCTTGAAAAAGATAGGAACGTCTTGGAACAAGAAGTACAGAAAACAGTATGGACCACTGCGAAAGGTAATACATGACATCCGTACAGGAGGTCCTATGCCAGGAAATTTTATTATGATCCCTTTGCAACGAAAATTTAGGTGAAAATAAAATCGGTATTTTTATTTAATGGTTAAAGTTCAATTAAGTTACTTATTAAGTGTTAAGTTATTAAGTAATTTATCATAGAATCAAGAAGTAGAAAAAGAAGAGGGGAAAGGCTTGTAATACAACAGCAAAAAAATGTCATGAAGTTCATACCCTAAAGCTCATCATTTTCCTTATAGAAATGTCTTAAGGCGTTCCCACAATTTTCCCTTGATCTTTCTTTTACACGTAATCCTGTTAAATTTGGTGATCACGTTTCCTAAGCTGTGAGATTAGGTGCAAAAACTGAACACAGGTCGAACAACTTGACTGAAAACAAACACAGCAACACTTAGTAAATATTTTTACTTACTTACAGAAGCAAGGAGCTTACACACTTCAGTAAGTATTTAAGTGCATCTTTTAATTAGACCACACTTCAGAAATGAGTGTTGGCTTAATGACTCTGAGTCCGCAGCATAGCTTTTAAGGTTTTCATTTAAAATGATTGGGTCACTGTCTCGGTATCTTAGTCTTAAGCGTGACATTAGCTGTGCAGGTTTTTTAAAAATATAAATACCCTTTATAAGTTTGAGGGAGTTAGCTTTTTTTAATTGTTGACTGATAGTTCATCTTGAGTAGAGTTTGGATTTTATCAAATGCTGACTGTTTTTAAAGCCTTTATTCTGTTAATGTGGTGAATTCCATTGACCTTTTTAATGTTGAGCAACTCTTAACATTTCTGAGATAAATCCCACTTGGTCATGAAATTTTAATGTATTGCTACATTCATTTGGCCCATATTTAGGATTTTTGTTTCTACATTTACCAGAGATATGAGTCTTTGGTTTTCTTTTTTCGTAATGTCTTGGTCAGATTTTAGTGTCAGGGTTGTATAGGACTCAGAAGTCGGGAAACACTCCTTTATATATTCTTGGGAAGAATTCTCTAAGACTGATTTTTTTTTTTTCTTAAATGTTTGGTGAAGCTACTGAGACCTGAAAATTTTTTTATTTTATTCTAATTCCAGTGTAGTTAACATACAGTGTTCTGTTAGTTTCAGCTGTGCAACATAGGGACTCAGCAGTCCGTATGTTACTCAGTGTTCATCCTGATAAGTCTCCTCTACATCCCCTTCACCTGTTCCCCTGGCCCCCCACCCCACTCCGCCTGGTGACCGTTAGTTTGTCCTCTCTAGGTAAGAGTGTTTCTTGGTTTGTCTTTTTTTTCCTTCGTTTGTTTTGTTTCTTAAGTTCCACATATGAGTGAAATCATGGTGTTTGTCTTTATCTGAGTGGCTCCTCTCTCTTAACCGTAATACACAGCAACTCCATCCATATTGTTGCAAATGGCAAGATACCATTTTTTTTAATGGCTAAATAATATCCATTGTATGTAAATGCCATATCTTGATCCATTCATCTGTTGACGGATGCTTGGGCTGCTTCCATATCTTGGCTATTGTAAATAATGCTGCAGTAAACACGGGAGTGCATGTATCCCTTCAAATTAGTGTTTTTGTGTTCTTTGGGTAGATACAGTAGTGTGATTACTGGATCGTAGGGTAGTTCTGTTTTTAACTTTTTGAGGACCCTCCATACTGTTTTCCGCAGTGGCTGCACCAGTGTGCATTCCCGCCAGCAGTGCACCAGGGTGCCTCTTCCTCCATGTCCTTGCCAGCACCTCTTGTTTCTTGTGGTTTTTATATTAGCCATTCTGACAGGTGTGAGGTGATAGCTCATTGTAGTTTTGATTTGCATTTCCCTGGTGATGAGTGATTTTGAGCATCTTTTCATGTCTGTTGGCCATCTGGATGTCTTCTTTAGGGAAATGTCTGTTCATGTCTTCTGTCCATTTTACAATTGGATTACTTGATTTTTTTTTGGTGTTGTATAGTTCTTTGTATATTTTGGATACTAAATCTTTATCGGTTATGTCATTTGTAAATATCTTCTCCTATTCAACAGGTTGTCTTTTAGTTTTGTTGGTGGTTTCCTTTGCTATGCAGAGAAGCCTTTTATTTTGAGGTAGTCCCAGTAGTTTATTTTTGCTTGTTTCCCTTGCCTCAGGAGACCTATCTAGAAGGATGTTGCTACGATCAGTGTCAGAGAAATTACGGTGCTTGTGCTCTCTTCTAGGATTTTTATGATTTCAGGTCTCACAATTAGGTCCTTAATCCATTTTGAGTTTATTTTTGTGTGTGGTGTAAGAAAGCGATCCAGTTTCGTATTTACCACAAAGATACAAATGTAGGGATCCAAAGGGGTACGTGCACCCCGATGTTTATAGCAGCAGTGTCCACAATAGCCAAACTGTGGAA